TTATTTTAGATGCCAGATGTACCCCCCCCCCTCTTCTCTTTGTACCACAGGCCATGTTTTCTATGGTTGTACTTGCATAGAAATCTACAAGTCAATTTAACTAAACGGCTCACCTTTGCAAAATAATGGTGTACCCGATTTGCTAAATGGAGTCATTTTAAAATTAAAGATGTCTTTCCTACATCACTGTCTTCAGCTTTAATAACTATATCCTAGGCCACTTTTAAATTAAGAATTATGATTATTGTAATTTGGGAACATGTGTAGCTCAGTTAAAATTGCACCATTTGAGCACCTAAGTCCACTTTTGTCATCTTTAACAGCAAGTATTTTAAAATTTTGATTCAATTTTTTTATCAGGTTGTTCACTGGAAACCGCTATTATCGGCAAGTGGGCTCCTAAATTTTACCTGATCATAATTCGGTGTAAATATCCCCAAAATTAGAGATTGTTCTTTGTATTTTTGCGGCTTAGAATAAAAGTGTGTTTTCAGTAAAACAGGACCGTTGTCCCTATTGTTAGTGGCATTTGCTCTCTCTTTACAATCTCTATTTGGATTAAATATTGACCTGCTTTTGTACTGAAAAATTATTATGTTCGTGTACGTCTGTTTGGCGCCAGTATTTTTTAACTTGTTGTGTCAGTAACAGCAAGTAAATAGAATAGAATAGAAATACGTTCTAGCGGTCGTATACATACAATCTACACAGGTGCTGGTGTTATTACTGTGTTGTGGACATTCGCATAATGTGGCTATTCAAATAACACGATAAAAGTTGAAGTACCGTACTATTCATCGTGTGTGGCGCCATGTTTTGCCGGTGATGTAAGGCTCCTTAATGTGTGGATCAGTTGTATTCTGGTTTTCTCTCTCATTCTTAGGTGTCGCTCATTTTGCGGTTTTTCTGAAGTAGACCTTGTTAAAAATAAATCACAAAAAAACATCGAGAAGTTTACTTTAGATTTTGAAGTCATTACACATTCTGAAGCTTGAAAAGTAACAACCCTAATTTCTATACGTCTTGTAACCATAGCAATGGATTATGTCTTTGTAGAACTTTTCTGCTTCTCATTTTTTCTTCAACTAATACTAGTCTACCGTAAAATGTGTATCATAATGAGCAATTGTCGTGGATGTTTCCCTAATTTCACTTTATCAGTCTATTCACGTCTGTCAAAAATGTTTCTATCAAAAGCGACCTCTAATTGGCTAATCAAATTAATAACTGCCTTTTGGTATGAATGTTGCGATTTTTAAGACTGCCAATTTTTGCTGTCCTGCAAAATTCTAAATTTTGTTTACATTTAATGAATCTGGTTTAAAATTGTAAAAAGTATTGAAAATGTGACTCTGCATTTTGCTGAAAGTTAAAATACTGTTTTCAATAATTCCTGGTCAGTATATTCATTAATTTTACTGTGTAGAGTGGTACAAATTTCCATAAGGAATGTCAGCACAATAGCTTCATCCATTTAACTTTGCCTACAGGGCACATAGTGATAGAATCTAATTTAAAAAAAAACAAAAAAAAAGAAGTAAAAGTAATTTTTTTTGTTTCTTTGGCTTGTATTGTTCACCACTCCTCTTTATCAGATTGTGGGTTCCATTTTCATTGGTTGGTTAAACTGATAACACGATAACTTTGTATGAGATTGTTGTTGTAAGAGCTTTGTGGACAATTATTTTTCACTTATTTCGAAACCACCAAATCCTTTAGTTTCCCTCGACAGTGTCCTTTGCACTTATTGTCAGAAATAATTAAATCAGTCAGAATACTTATTTCCATCTACGCTTATTAAAAGTAGTCGTTTATTTCATTTGTATGTAGAGCCTTCCCTGCTGATGGATCGCTCAGCGATTCAGACCATTTCGGCGGATAAAGTTTCCCTGGCTGGATGCAAATAAAAGCGATTCTATAAAACGACGCTAATCATCAAACTATGCGTGTTTGTATCATTTTTTTACCTTGAGGCCAACTTTCAGCTGTCTGTGATGGTTAGTGTTATTGATTTGGTATTTTACTGATTAGTGTCTATGTCTGAATTCATATAAACCTAATATTTCATCACTTTGTAATACTTTGGTTTACTAGTGATTCTACTTGTGTTCTTTCCCTTGTTCTCCATTTTTAACTCTAATTTTTGCTAAAAAGGTATTTTGTTGCACTTTACAGGATGATGGTTTATCTGCGTTTTAGCCTTGTTTTCTTTAAACGTCATTAAATGCTCCATTAGGGTTTATAATGAACCCTAAACAATGAATATCATTCATTGCCTTTTAAGTCTAGCTGTTGTAAACATCAAGTTCATTGTCACTATGAATATTACCGCAGTGATTGTATGCCACAATAAATTGTATATTTGTGGAGATTTGGTCTACGAAAAGTTCAGGCCATATTCCTTTTGCTTCATAGTCTGTGAAAATTATGTTGATTCACTGAGGCTTAAAGGTTTGCATCCAGCTGCTAGACGCTTGTCAAAAAATACGTTCTCGCACGTCTAAAACACGCCTGTGTTAACACTGTTTTTTGTGGTGCAAATATTAGATAATCTGCTGAATTGTCTGCTCGCGGTCTCACTTAGTAAAAATACTGGTGCTTGAGGATTGAATGCTGGCCTTCCACCTAATATTTCGTGTAGTTCATACCAAAGATGGCGTAGTTTTTCAAATCTCTACCGCTTCTGTTGTTGTGCTCAATAACTTCTTATTTTATACTTTATAAGTTTTGATCTTTCGTTGACATTGTAATGACGTCCTGTCCATCCCCTTTTTAGCCGCTTTTTCGGCAATCACAGCATTTACTCTAGCATCCCTAGTCCATACAGATGCTAGAGTAAATGCTGTCAATTCTCTCCATACAGATATTAGTAATCTTGTTTCTTCGTCTGACCAGTTCGACATTTGACCTGTAACCTCTGACGCCATCTTGTGTAATGACAAGCATAAATAAGTCAGCAATAGAGGGCGTTTGGCCGTCATATTGTGTACACGGCACATTGCTTTGTGCAAGAGACGGTGTGACAACAGCGTTTAGGATCTGGTCACGTCAAAAACGCCAACGCCACAATGGCGTATTCTCAAATAAAAGGCTTATTTCGTCCAGTGAGAATGCCACTGATAACTGCTTAGCAATATTTATTGTTTAAATTAGTATACAACTGTATAGGGATACTAGTATTAGACAACTGTAAACAACAACAACAACATTGTTTTGTTTGGTATCGAAAAATCAGCCAAATTTGTGATTTCATCTCAGGTGTATTTGAGCAGTATGAGAAACATTCCTTATCATTTCATTCATTTTGTATTCAATTTCACTAAGAAACCTGGTCACCTGGTCACCTGACTGAGAAAATTACATGACAAAAAAAAAGGCTAAGAGGGAATGCAAATTGTTCATTATAAGAAGGCTCCAAACGTTACTATGGTTGTAATGGAAGTATTTATACCAAACATTGAACTGTAGAGGGTGTACTCTCTACCTGTAGATGGCGCAAATCAATTCTGTATTGACTTGTGGTAAGCAGTATTTGGAGATGACTGAGAACTGTACTATTAGTCTCACCCATGTGTAGTGCCATCAGAGTCAAGCTGATAAGCTAACATGTGGGATTAGCTGTAATCTTAGTCCATAATAGAGTGTAGCCTAACTATTATGTTTCTTTCCAAAAAATTAAAAATAAATACAATTTTCACCGTCAGAAGGAGAGTACAAGTGTGTATTGTACCACTACTTTGTGTTCCCAAAACAGCTAATGTGATTCTTGTTGAAAAGAAAGATTTTACAAAGTGCGCTGGGAAATCAGTAAATAAATTAAAATATACTTTAATATAGGTTTGCAATAACAATTTTAATAATGACATTCTTCATTTATAATACCACTTTATTAGAAGCAAATGTGTGATAATGTACAAGCCCTGTATGAGTTTAGTGTACTGAAAACCCCACCAAAATAAACATACTTGGTTATTAGGCCTAAATGAACTAAAGTATTAAACTGTTAAAATGAATCAAGTTATGTTATTAGGTTTGAACTGTGGTCAACTGGCAGCCTTTCAAATAAAATAGTCAACTTGGCAGCCTTTCAAATAAAATAGTCAACTGGCAGCCTTTCGAACAAAATGGCCAACTGGCAGCCGTTTAAACAAGGTGGTCAACTGGCAGCCTCTTGAACAAAATGGCCAACTGGCAGCCATTTACAAAAATGGTCAACTGTAAGAAATTTAAACAGAATAGCCAAAATGGCCAACTGAACAAGGTTGTCAACTGGCAGCATTTTAAATAGATTGTGTCATTTAAAATTTCTGGATTTCTTCGTAAGTCTAGCAAGATGCTGATTTATTTACTGGTGAATGTTTTTCTGATTTCTGTCATTTTGTAAAATAGTTTGCTTGCGAAAATGTTTTTTATTATCTTGGTTGCTACTCCAGACAATCCACATGTTTTTTCTCTTGTGTTTCAAGTCTTTTTAATTTGGTATGCTATGAAGTATCCATCACTTCTGTTATTGGCTCTTTTGCTGTTAATGAAGCTAATTGCTCTCTTTGCCAACTGATAACGCTGATGGTGGACTATGTTTTTTTAATCAGTACCTAGATTCTGTTTCCTGAGCGTTTTAAGCAAAAACCATGCCCTCTTGTCAAGGCCATTCATGTTATTTTCTTTGTTTCTCACCTAGTGCTACCAAAGGTTTTAACGTTACCGTCTAGCAGTCTGTTTTTGCACTGCAAACCACTTGATTATTGTAAAGATCGTTTTTCGTGGATTTTGCGATGCCGCCAACATAAAATTTGTTACAGTGTATATTTCGCTGGGAGTCTCAATTCACAAACACAAATTCATCTTCTTTTGGTATTAATGTCTGTTCCATACGAATATGATCCGTCACTGTTTTAGTTCTTCATACTACGATATTTTTCATTTACATGTGTGGTTCATAGGACTTTAGGTTTAAAACTGATCTGCAGAAATACCCATGTTGTCTTATTTGTTTCCAGCTGCACAGTTCCACTTTTGAGATGCAGGATGTGGCAAACTTAAACCAGAATATGAATGGCCTAGACATGGAGCATCTGCTTATGACTAAAGTAATTAAGCCATATTTTTCTCTTTCCCTGTTTTACAAGAGTTAATTTGACAAGAGTTTAATTGTCAAGTCTGAATTGAAATGTGTGAATTGCTGAGTTTTCACAGCTCCCAGATCTGACGTGTTATCAATTAATTTGTCTAGTTTTCCATGTAAGGGCATGCAAACCACTACAGTTTTGTACAGGAATGGTTTTGTGATTTCTGTAATGTAATACTCTAAATCATATCTTGTGTATTAACACAACTAACACATTTTTTTTTATACAGGATTGAACTTGTTATATTCCATGATTTAACATTGAGATAATTATTGTGGCCCACAAACATTTTTGTCCAGATCTCAAAAAATCTTTTTAATTCTAAATGGTCATGATATTTAACTCTGGAGAATTCACAAAATCATCACCATGGAAACAAGCTTTTGTATGCTCCTGTTATTTTCTCATTTCTTGATACGTGTCATGTCAAATGTAGAAAACTGTGTGTTAGGTCACTTATTAAATGTTATTCCTTTTAGTTTCCAGGCCAGGCCATTTCCTGTGTTGATTCACAGACCCCTTAAAACCCAACCATGCCAAGCACAACGGCTACCAAACCTGTGAAAATCAAAGTTGATAAAAAACACCTACCCCAAACAATCATTAATATATTAAATCTTGAAAAAATCTTATGGCTCAGTATGACATCATGGCATTATCGTAATATTGTGCATTCTTACAGAGACAGTATAGCACAAAGAAACAAAAATATGTGATTTCACTTTATTTAGCTTTATTCTTCAATTTCCCAGGTTGAGTTTGACTTATTCTTGGAATAGTGCTTCTAATTTATGATATTATAATATCAAGATGGTCTCTTTCACGTAGTCCCACACATGGAAGATTGTTTCTGTGGCAAAATACCACTATACTAAAATTTTCTGCTTCCTGTTTTTACCTTGTATGGGGTGGGGTATACTGTGAAAAGTTTGAAATGAGGATACAATCACACCAAATTATTTATAAGTAGTATTCCTATTTTACTTAAAACAAACTACAAGTAACAACCATCATGATCTTCTTACTCTAGAACTACAAATTTGTATGAAAGTCGCTTCGACTAACTGTCTAGAATGAGGTTTGAGGTTTATATGTCGTTGTTTTCATCTTTAGTATACTGAAAATGTTGAAAAAATATTGGGATTAATTTTTTGAAAAACGTCATTGAAAATAGTCAAAATTTGCATTTTTCTCGCTCGTTTCTATGGTTACATTATTTTGTTTATATATCAAAATTTTGATCGATGAACAAGGAATTAAAAGGTCATATATTATTTTCGATATGAATCCTAATGATTTTAATACATTTCAAAAAATTTGCATTTAAAATGCGACAGTCGTCGCGCCGCGTCCTGTTCGATATGGGACTCATAGCGACATATACAACGCATGTAAAATACATTGTTTATTTACATGAAATTCAAACACGCGCTGCGCAACGACCACCGCGCTTTAATTTTAGTGAGGATTTTATTAATATACAATATGAAGTTGTTTCTCATACATGTATATATGTGCAGTAACATGCTTGGTAGTGTTCAATTCAAATTCACTCAAACTTACTTAAAATAGTTCACTGTATAATAGCCACTACTACATAATTCCACATTTTCCCTGACTTGATAAGTTTATAAAAAAAAATTTCTTTGTGGCATTTAACCGATTTGCTCTACTTTCCGAATCTGTTGCATCCTTGTTAACAGAACACTAAATGTCAAAAGCGAAAAAGTTGAAATTCCACGTCTGATGGCAACATTTTAACAATTTAAGGGATTATGCCAGCAGTACCTTAGTAACAGATGTTGCTATCTTCAGTTACATTTCCCTGAACAGTCCATCCCTTTGACTTTAGTCTGTCGATAAATTTTTCATTTTAGTAGTACTTCATGCAGCTTCTGTAAATTTTGCAGTTTTGCTCAACGGCTTTATTTTTGTGAGTAATCTTATCTTCCACTCACTTTGTAATCTTTTCCCACCCCCTTGGCCGTTTTGGGTGTTTCTTGACGATATGTCTGTGATTGGCTCGTTTATGGGATGTTTTGTTCTTATAGCCTAGCTGTACCAATCCAGAAAAACATGTATAGATGCTCTTGGTTGATCCAGTAATTTGCTATGAAAAATTAAGATCTGGAACACATGTAGCCTATGACTAGACGTTGAGTTACCCTTACTTCATCAAAGTCGTCCGTCATCAAATGTGTAGAGCACAATACCCGTTTGTTTAATCCCACACAATGTTCGACTCTATGATCTTTATTATTATTTCTGTTCTTACATTTGATTTTATGCATAACTCACAATTTGATAATGTAAGATTGCAAAGAGTCTAGAAAATGGCTCATTTAAGACTACCGTAAAATCTGTATTAGAAGCCGCATCTTTAATAGAAGTCGCACCCATTCTATTTGAATAATTGAGAATCAAAAAAAGTGTAGATGCTCTGATAGAAGCCGCATCCCCTCCGTTGCATTGTACTATTTTGATAGAAGCCAATACAGATTTTACAGTATTCATGGAGAGGAAATTTAGTGAATATCGCCTTGACTTAGTATCTTAAAAAACATCTAATTTTTCTTATAAAGTTGTCTATTTGTGGTATTGTTGGTGTGAAATAAATAAAATAGATAAAAATCTGCTCTTTGAATCAATCTTTAGATTCTCCATATCATTTGCACCTTTTCTCAAACTATTAAAGCTGAACACATGGCTTTAATAAAGGAGGTCTTGTCTTATAAAACTAGCCCAAACCTAGGAATGTTGCCGTCAGTCGTCTACTGATTAGTGGTATTGGCTGTTGCATTCCACTAATCATACTCTAATTTTCCGAGGAATGTTATCTATGTGTTGGAAAATATTCCACATTTCGAAACTTTCCCTTCTTTTTCAGTTTGTCTCCACATAATGCATTTGTTCAGTTAATCTTGCGACAGACAGAGGAAATTTTGTCAACCAAGGTATCTATTATTCCTGGAGTAAAACAATAGTACTGTAGTACTGTATGGAGTATAATTTATGTGTCCTTCAGTGTGTTAACACATTGACAGTCATAGCAATGTGCTGTTAACACATGCACTTCTATGGTAGGGGGTGCGATCTAGTCACCATTAGAAGTACATCTTCAATAAACTGGATCATTCAAATAATACTTATTATGGCCATAGACATGCCTCTTACATTTACATAAGCACTACTAATAAAGAAGTATGGTAAATACAGTACATGTACTTTATTTAGAGATATGTGCTTCTAATATATTAATGTTGTGCTATTTTCCATGCCTTAGCTTAGTCATATTATTATTGTGAGAAATTGCCTTTCCTCATTGTCAGAGTAACATGTGCATCGTAACCAGATGTCATCTTTAACATGAAATACATGTGTACCCCTCGCTGCGCTATATATCTCATTCATCCCAGGGTGTCAAATGTCGGGGTCTCTGGACGAGTAGGTGAGTCGTCAAATGTCAGGTCTAGACGTGTAGGTGAGTCATCAAATGTCAGGGTCTGGACGTGTAGGTGAGTTGTCAATGTCAGGGTCTGGACGTGAAGGTGAGTCATCAAATGTCAGGGTCTGGACGTGTAGGCGAGTCATCAAATGTCAGGGTCTGGACGTGTAGGTGAGTCATCAAATGTCAGGGTCTGGACGTGTAGGTGAGTCATCAAATGTCAGGGTCTGGACAAGTAGGTGAGTCATCAAATGTCAGGTTCCGGACGTGTAGGTGAGTCGTCAAATGTCAGGGTCTTGACATGTAGGTGAGTCATCAAATGTCAGGTTCCGGACGTGTAGGTGAGTCGTCAAATGTCAGGGTCTGGACATGTAGGTGAGTCGTCAAATGTCAGGGTCTGGACGTGTAGGTGAGTCGTCAAATGTCAGGGTCTGGACGTGTAGGCGAGTCATCAAATGTCGGGGTCTCTGGACGTGAAGGTGAGTCATCAAATGTCAGGGTCTGGACGTGTAGGCGAGTCATCAAATGTCAGGGTCTGGACGTGTAGGTGAGTCATCAAATGTCAGGGTCTCGACGTGTAGGTGAGTCATCAAATGTCAGGGTCTGGACAAGTAGGTGAGTCATCAAATGTCAGGTTCCGGACATGTAGGTGAGTCGTCAAATGTCAGGGTCTTGACATGTAGGTGAGTCATCAAATGTCAGGTTCCGGACGTGTAGGTGAGTCGTCAAATGTCAGGGTCTGGACATGTAGGTGAGTCGTCAAATGTCAGGGTCTGGACGTGTAGGTGAGTCGTCAAATGTCAGGATCTGGACATGTAGGCGAGTCATCAAATGTCAGGGTCTGGACATGTAGGTGAGTCATCAAATGTCAGGGTCTCAACGTGTAGGTGAGTCATCAAATGTCAGGGTCTCGACGTGTAGGTGAGTT